AGGGAAATTTGTATATTCTGCATATAATTGTATTCTATTTTGTTTTTCTTTGCCTATGTATTGTACACTGCACTCATTGTGCACACGGCACTAATAATATTTTCATTATGTTTGCATTCTTTCAGAGTTCTGATTAGAAATTAGCCTGCCTACATAACGCCACTTGTTACCATAAAAGTACAATTGTAATATTAGTGTGATACCTACATAATTATGTGTATACAAAAACTTAAAATGCGCCAAATAAACAGAACAGTTATTTGGAAAGATGCTGAGTGTATCTTTTTGTGTCTGTTCCCTACTGCAGTAGTTATTATTAATTTGGAACCATTAATCAATATGAGGATAGGAGTTGCCTGTCTATAAAATTTTCAGTATTAATGTCCAGAACAGGGCATTAGAAGACTGAGGTACTCCACTTTCATGGCAGAAGACCATGAAAACATCAGCACAAGAGAGGGAACTTTACTCACAGGGTCCCATAGCAAACACAGTTCATGAGCATGGCCCCCTGTGTCAAGCCCAAGAATGACCCAGGGCAAGTACCCCCCGGAGCTCACAGATCTATTCCCACACAGGGGAAAAGACCCTCTACTCTGGACTACAGCCTTTTTAAAAGGAACCCATCCATCATCTGGGCACACCTTCCCAGGGACTGGACAAACCCTACTCAATATTCAAGCTGGGTATTTGAATCCCTCTGCCAAAATCTCCAGAAGCTTCTAGAGTCGGGGAGAGGTAATCAAACTTCAAGCCTGTGGAGTCTTCGGAAGACCAAATTAAACAATTCTGGCTTCTGTGGCTATAGCAGAAGCCTCATACTAAATTTACCTAACAACCTAGGTGGGAGGACACAACATCTACAAGATTGATGCATGAGTAGATAGCAGGTATAGCAGCCACTGATCTTAGAAAATGGAAATAAAGGGGATAGTGCCCTTTATCGGGTGACTCCACGATGGATTTCTAGATGGGAGCACAACCTTAAAAAAAAAAAGTTTATTTATGATTAAAAAAAAACATTATCTAATTTGTAACTTTTATATCTGTCTGGGGTTCAGCTTTAAATTAAAGTTAGAGTTCACCTAATTATTTATTTTCATTAGTCTGTGTTGTTCCCAAATGTGTTTTTTTCTGGAAAATAATGGCATTTACGCAATTGTTCAGAATTCTGTCTCCCATCAAAAGAGCATACCAAAATGCATTCAGAATTACCACTCTGACCAACTTAAGGGCGTTGCCAACGCTAACCTGCATTTTTGAACAGGCTGTGTCTTGCAGACAAATTACTATACTTCCTTCAGACTATAAATTATTCATAAAGCTCCTAGGTGACAGCCTGAATCTTGCCTGTTATAATTACGTGTGACCAAGCAAGTTTTATGCAAGTATAAATATAACATCTAGCAATGATTTTTTTTTTTTCTAGGGAAATGCCAATCGCTTCTAAATTATTTAAATTACAGCAGAAGAAATGTAGAAATTCCTGTGCAGTTTGAAAACAAACATTATATTTTTAAGTGCTTTGAATGATAATTTTCAGAGTATGAATAAAAGGAAAAATATTTCATCTTAATTTATAGTTCTTTGTTCTAGCCAAATGTAATGGATTGTTAAACATAGACCCATCACAGGTTAAATACATCTCATAATAGTTTTTAAAATATTAAAAGACTTTTGTGCATAAATTTGACATACCTTCATTGTCAAGTCCTATTGATCTGCAATCTTTTTCCTCTAGATCCAGTACAGTTTCAGAAAAATTTCTATAGGCTCCTGTGAGGCAAAGGCTCTCAAAGTAACACTGATTAAAATAAACCTGACCTAGCCTGAAAAGTGCAAACAACAACAATAGTAACAAGGTATAGACAAATCTTTAAACACATTCAGTGTCCTTTGAAGTACTGTCCCAAAAGATGCAAGCCAAATGTGCCTGGCATACAAACTGATATCCTCATGCTAAGAGGGCAACAGATGTCTAAGCACCATGCTAATAGAAGCATGTACAGTATGCCTTTCAGTTTCAGACAAGAACTTCAAGAAGTGGGTGGGTGATAAAAAAATATAGTGATGGAAAAGTGAGATGCTATACCCTATTCTGGTTGCCCGCTAAAAGGGTCTTTTAAACCATTAACGTTTTCAGAACAAAAAACATATTACATAAATGAAAATATAGATTGATACTGTTCCCCCACTTTACTTGTTTACTATTTTTCTTCTTAGAGCCAAATTAGCTCCTCCTTTTCAGTAACAGACTTTGGCATTTGAAGATAAGAAGTTCCACCACATCCTTAACACGGGGCTTACAACTCCAACATAAATTAATTTCACAGAGATTATTATGGAAAATTCTGGGAGATTCCCACTTATTCTTTTCTACACCCTGACTTATTTTCTCCACCATTAGTGGTGAAGGATTTGGGTATTCTGGTAGATTGTAGGCTTAATAATAGCATGCAATGCCAAGCTGTGGTTTCCAAATGAGTAAAATCCTTTAAGAGGTATGGACTGCAGAGAGAGATATAATTTATCCCTGTACAAATCATTAGTAACACCTCATCTGGAACATGCAGTTTTGGGGACCAATTCACAAAAAAGATATCAGGGAGAAAGTGAAGAGAAGGGCAACCAAACTGAAAAGAGACAGGGAGGTGCTCAACTAAGAGGAAAGATTAGCTGATTTGAATTTATTCTCTCTTGAGAAGAGGAGATTAAGGGGGGATATGATTAAAATGCATAAATACATAAGGATCTATATAGTGAACTTGGTGTAGAGTTATTCACATTAGGGTTATCACAGAGGACAAGGGGGAATTCTTTACATTTGGCCGAAAAGAAATTTAATCACCAAATGCAGAAAGGCTTCTTCACAGTAAGAGCTCTGAAAATGTGGAATACACTCCCTCAAAAGCTGGGTCTGGACAGCTCATAGATTGTTTTTAAAAAAGGCCTGGATTTTTTCCTCAATTCACAAATTATAACTGTATACTAATTGTTCTGTCATGTTTCCCTGTGTGTAACTAAACATGCAGCTAAACCCTCCTATTTTGCAATAAGCCAGACTGAATGTAATCTTAAAGCTTTATTAATAAAACAGGTTGGGTGAAACTATTAGGAAAAAACAGATGAGAAATACATACAATGAATGTAAGAACATACAGAAAACACAATGAATAGTTAGACTATGATGACTATGATGATGATTCTCACCACCAATGTTGCTTTTAGGGGATGCAAAGCGCTGCAGTCCAGCATGAGCTCTGATAGCTGGCTCCTTCTCTCCCAGTTACTAAAATGGAGTCTGAGCACTCAAGATGCATCTCTTAACTTTCTCTCAGAATTATGGGAATTTTTATTAACTCTTAACTCTTATCTAAACAGTCTCTAGTTTCTGTAAAACAATACAGTGGTCAAATTTGGTAATGCAGGCAGGACAGGCATAATAAATTCCTCTGCTGGAGGCAGACCATTATTATTTATAGGTAAAGTTGATCCTTTTACCTCTTGGGAGATCAGGAAGGATTTTTTTCTCCATGGATCAATTTTTTTTTCAGCTGGAATGAATTGGATCATGCTTTATTGTTTTTTTCTTTTTTATCTGGATCAGCTGTGGGTATAAGATTGTGTATGTACAGGTTTTCTATTTGTTTGTGTGTTTTTTTTTCTGTGGTTGAAGTAGATGGACTTGTGTCTTTTTTCAACCAGACTAACTATGTAACTTTTTTTATCATTAATATATTTAAAACATTGTAGATGTCCTGTTCTCTTTTGGATTGTATTCTCTCTCTAAGGGAGATACAGACAGCACTCTATCCAATAAATTAAATTAAAAAAAACCTTACTTTTACTACTACTTACTTACTTATACTTTAAATGAGGAACTTCACTTCTGCATGATTCACTTAAAGGTCATATTGAAGTCTTCTCTTCTCTCTCAGTAAGCCACATCTCTAAAGGTCTGGCACACTTTGTGGATAGACTCCAGTGTAACACTTGTCCACATTTTTCCAAACCTGTCTCTCCTGACTTCTGATTTTTTTTTCTTAGTACGCTATCCCTGTTTCTTCTGGCTTTAGGTACTGTTTCTGGTATGCTCCATTTGTCAAATTCTGCACCTCTAAGCCTTTGCATTTGGGCACAGTTACTCTTGGTACAACCGTATGCCAAATTCTGATCTTCACAATCTTTAGAGCTGGGCACTGCTACTTTTGGTACACTCCATTTTCCAAACTCTGCACCCTAGCAGGTAGACACATCTGAGCATCTCTCTTTGGAGCTCATTCCAGCTTCCTCCTTTTCCTTACTTGCCACCTGGCCTTTTCTGCTGGTGGTCCTGAGGGTGATTTAGGGTCAGAACAGAGCTGAGTCCAAATCCCCATGAAGGGGTGCTTGGTCTCTTCCCAAGACCTCATGAGATCTCACAGAAGGTTTTTTTTTTATCAGCATACGATTTACGCTGTACAGCACATGTGCTATGATGTCATGCTTGTGCAGTAAAAGAATACTTGCAGCTTAAAATCGATGTTAGATAATTTCATATCAGCATGTAGTGATGCATGCTAATATGAAAATTAATAAAACAGGGAAAGACCAATATTTTGTTTTCAGTTCAGTTCACAGGAAGTGACAAGGACACTGGTATTATCTGGACAGATCAGCATATTTTCTGTACATAATGAAAATGTTCTTAGCTTGAAAGATGAAAATGAATGCAAAGACCACATCTAAGAACAGGTAAGCTGCAATATATTACATTTTTGTTCTGTGCTTTAGTTATTCTTTAAGCATGGATCAGTAAATCGTTGAGCAGATTGGAAAATGTACTTGTTCCTGGTAATGGTGAACAGCACATTTCCATATCAACATATATATATATATATATATACATACAGTAAATACACTGTATTGCCAAAAGTATTGGGGCACCCCTCCAAATCATTGGATTCAGGTGTTCCAATCACCTCCATGGCCACAGGTGTATAAACTCAAGTACCTAGGCGTGCAGACTGCTTCTTAAAACATTTGTAAAGGAATGGGTCGCTCTCAGGAGCTCAGTGGATTCAAGCGTAGTACCGTGATAGGTTGCCACCTGTGTAATAAGTCCATCTGTGAAGTTTCCTTGCTACTAAATATTCCATGGTCAACTGTTAGAGGCATTATAACAAGGTGGAATCAACTGGGAACAACAGCAACTCAGCCACGAAGTGGTAGGCCATGTAAAATGACAGAGCGGGATCAACACATGCTGAAGCGCATAGTGCGCAGAAGTCGCCAACTGTCTGTAGAGTCAAAAGCTAAAGACCTCCAAACCTTGTGTGACTTTCAGATTAGCACAAAAAACAGTGTGTAGAGAGAGCTTCATGGAATGGGTTTCCATGGCAGAGCAGCTGCGTCCAAGTCTTACTTCACCAAGTGTAATGCAAAGCGTCGGATGCAGTGGTGTAAAGCACGCTACCTCTGGACTCTAGAGCAGTGGAGATGCGTTCTCTGGAGTGACAAATCACGCTTCTCTGTCTGGCAACCTGATGGATGTGTCTGGGTTTGGCGTTTGCCAGGAGGATGGTACTTGCCTGAGTGCATTGTGTCACTTTGGTGGAGGGGGGATTATAGTGTGGGGTTGTTTTCCAGGGGTTGGGCTTGGCCCATTAGTTCCAGTGAAGGGAACTCTTAAGGCATATGAGGGTGGCCTGTTCCTGTTCCAACATGACTGCGCACCAGTTCACAAAGCAAGGTCCATAAAGACATGGATGAGCAAGTTTGGGGTGGAGAAACTTGACTGGCCTGCACAGAGTCCTGACCTCAACCCGATAGAACACACAGAACACAGAAAACAGATAGATGAATTAGAGCGGAGACTGTGAGCCAGGTCTTCTCATCTTCTTGTCCGACATCAGTGCCTGACCTCACAAATACGCTTCTGGAAGAATGGTCAAACATTCTTATAGACACACTCCCAAACCTTGTGGTCAGCCTTCCCAGAAGAGTTGAAACTGTTATAGCTGAAAAGGGTGGGCCAACTCCATATTGAACCCTACGGACTAAGACTGGGATGCCATTAAAGTTCATGTGCGTGTAAAGACAGGCATCCCAATGCTTTTGGCAATATAGTGTATATAATATATATATATATATATATACATATATATGTTGTGTTCTTTTATATATATATATTATATATATATATATATATATATATATATATATATATATCCTATGTATTTTTCTACTAACTTAATGTAATACTCGGCTTACCATCAACTGTATCCTGAATCATCAGCAGTTTCAATGATCTGTACAGTAAGCATTAAACAATTTGCTCACAGCTATTTTTTTAATTGCTATCAAAATCAATCCACGTGTGCTTTTTGCAATGACGAATTGTGTAATGTTAATATTTTTTTATGTCAAAAGTGAGAAAAATGAGAGCTGTCAACCAAAATGTTGCCTTCCACTCAACTCCTGACCACATCCATGCGGGAGTTACTATGCAGCCATATGTTTAGGAGGTCATGATTACACTGCTTAAAATAACACTTTTCTGTGGTAAGTATTTTGTGGTAATATCACTTTACAGTAGAAATGTTTAAGCTCTTTAGATCAAGACAAGCGTTACTTTCCATCTCTGTAGGGTTTACCCCCAAAATATGCCCCAAAATCTGGCTTTAGGCTATAACCACCATCTTGCTAAAACGTATGTCATATGACTGATGAATCCAGTAACTGGGATAAAGAAATCCTTTCATGGCTGAGTATTGTAGCTATGTTTACCTTAATCTCATTTTAAAATGCTGTACCCATATTTATTCACTCTACAGTAAAAGGATGATTTTAAATAAATTAAATTTCCTTTTAAAAGCACACACACGGCCCCCCCCCCCCCCCCCCACCCGTCCGTGAGGATTCCATTATTGTATTAGTAAGTTGGTTTTGTGTCCTTATATATGCTACCATATTAGTCAGTTCTTTAGAATCTGACACAGGAAAGTATTATGTAATGCCAGAAACATTAGGAATCCAAAGTAAACTGTTGAAAGAAAGAAAAATGTAACTTCCTCAGAAAAATGCTGCTTTTCTAAATGTAAAGGCCTCACAATAATAGGGTCTATTTAAAAAGCAGATGCAGAGAGATTTAGCTTCTCAACCTATTTCTTGGCTGCTTTTCGAACAAAGTTTTTTTTACTTTTTCCAGATACTTAAATATTTGTCATAAACTGGACAATTTTGTGGAAAATTTTCAGCTTTTAATTAGCTTTCAAGTTCAGTTGTTAGCCTCTAGCTACCAAATTTTTAAAATGAGACTGATATCAATCAAAACAATTCCAGTGAGATTGAAAAAAAAAAACAGCTTTTCAATCATTCTTCACCCAATATTTTACATTTTGCAGAAAACCATGAAATATTAGTGACTGAAAGCTGTCTGAAGACAACAAACTTGTGTAGCACTACCCCCACATGAGCTGCTTGTTAATTTGGGTTCTCTGCTCTGTGCCTCAACTCTAAGAACACCCTCAGCCCTTCTGACAGACTTGGTTGAATAAAAGTTATTGCAAGCACTTAAAAGAACATGAGCTGTGAATTAGCATCAGGAAATAGATGCAAGACCATTAAGTGGTACATGATTTCAATCTATTGGTATGGGTTAGAATACATGTCGGTTTGAGCATAAAGAGTTCTGTACCACTAGAATGGAATCAACACAAAAGTCAGCAATAAACAGTGCATACAAACATTAACTGCAATGTGAATAATGATAATGTGAATAATGAATAATGTGAATAAACTTGTCTAGAGTGCAAGAGGATAGCTAGGATACAATCAATGTCGCTTAAGCAAAAGGTAAAGTTCTCTGTGTGAAAGCTAACAGTAAAGGGATAGTCTTTAGTCCTAAATCTTCAGCCGGATAGCGTAGGGCCCAGTTGTACTGTTGGTACACATGGGAATACTTCCAGTCAAGTCTGCAGGCAGGAATATGGCTACTAGATGGTTGTATGTTCAGTTCCTAAAAGGCTCAGACTCTCTAGCAGCAGAGAGTAAATCCCCACAGCAGCAGCTGACCAGTCCCAGCAATATTGCAGCTCACCATACAGTCACACATAGCAAATAGTCCACTCTCTGCTCTGCACCCAGGTGACTCTGCCTGACAGCACCTCCAAACTCAGCACTCCAGATCCCACTCAAGCCACCAATATGCAGCAGTGGTGGTGCACATTGCGCAGTGGTATGCACTCTCCTGCCTCCCTCACAGCAAGAAGCAGCAGTGTCTTGTGTAGTCTGAGGAAATGCAGCTCTTTCCTCTCCTCTTGGCAATCTCAATCTGGAAAATGCATTTCAAAAGCTCTTGAGTCTCTCTCCTCTGGACTACAGTTCCCACAGTGCAGTGCTGCCTGCCCTCAGTCTAATAAATTCTTCCTGCTCAGCAGCTCCCTCCTCTTGCTGATATAACTGTTAACCATTTCAGCACCATAGGGAAGTAGCTACAGATCAGCTGCAGCCAGTGTTTCTCTCCCATTCTTAGCCAAACACCTGGCTACACTTGCACAAAGTATCTCTGGAAAAAATGCTAGCCATGTTTGTCATAATTTAAGTCAAATTCAACTACTTTCAAGATGGATCCTACAATTGAGTTATGATTAGGCACTTTCCAGTGTGAAACATGTAATGTCTGTATCTGTCTTCATGGAACTGTAAACATGTTTTTGTGATCGATTTTCTACAATAAAGTTTTGGTCTTCAACAAGTTGGAGTGCGGTCATACATCAAATTTCATTAAACACTGAGGCATTACTCAAATTGCTATGTGTATTTCTCATACCTGAATCCATTTCATTCCTCTATCCATTCTTATTTACTTCAAAAAACCTTTTGCTGTTTAATTTTTCCACAAATTTCTGGAGATCAATATAGATATTAAATTTGTCAATGTTTATGGTAGTTATATACTTTAAACCTAAATCCAATAATTTAAATTCTGCTTCCGTCAGTTCACCATTACTTAAGTTAAAAATGCCTGCACCCAATTTTCTCTCTTCCCTTTTTCTTCCTCCTTCCTTCTCTCTTCCCTCTCTTTCTGCACTTCCTCCTCTTCCCTGATATTTTTCCTCCATCTCTGACTCCCTCAAATAGGGTCTTTGCGTCTGATATCCTGTAGTCTGCCCTCCCCTGTAATTCCCCTGGGAACATTCTCTGAAGTTTCCCTGGTATCCTCCTCTGTATTTGTTTGGAAAACCCCCTCCTTGCCAATTTTATGTCCTTTTCCTTGGGTACCTCCTTGGTGCACAACCCTGAAATTCTTAAAAAAATGCCACTATGATGGGTATTGACCTTTGGTGATGTTTCTGGGGATATGTAACCTCTAATTAAAACCTAACACCCAACACTAGTCAAACCTTAGGCATAAGCTTTAATACCATGATGGTAACTACATTATAATCTTAGAAATAATTAATGTCATGTCAAACCAGCAGCAAAATACTATCGTGTAGGAATTGTCATAAAAAAATTATCAATTTACGAAAATGTGCCAATTGCAATAAACTATCAGTACCCACAGACCTGCACCAAAAAAGTGAATGATCTGGCACTTTTTGTCCTAGCAGTATGCCCTCTAATTGAGTAGACCACAATAATAAATACTAGCAGCTGTAAAAAATTATCAACATTGAAAGCATTTCATAAATATATTTTGATTTTCCCAAAGTGTCCATGATTTTCTTAAAGTGGTTGTAAAGGCTGAAGGTTTTTTTTACCTTCACGCATTCTCTGCATGGAGGTAAAAAATCTTTGGTGTGCAGCTCCCTCCACAGCTCCCATTATACTCACCTGAGCCTGACCCCGATCCAGAAATGTGTATGAGAGCAGAAGCTCTTCCGTGTCTCTCCCTTCTCATTTTGCTGAGACACATCAGTGGGAGCCTTGGTGCTGTCCATCAAAGCCAGTGAGCCAGTGAGAAGGGCAGGCACACAGAGGTGGCTTAGTAATGAGTACACATGTGTGCATGAAGGTAAAAACACTTCTGTGTGCTGTTCCTCCCACAGTCCCCCTAAAACTCACCTAAGCCCCCTCTTGATCCAGCGATGTGCATGAGAGCTGTCTGGGGTCTCTCTCTCTCCTTATTGGCTAACATAACAGCTGTAGCCATTGGCTTCCACTGCTGTCAATTACAGCCAGTGAGCCAATGAGGACCGGGGGGGGGGCAAGCCATGGCTCTATGTGTCCTATGGATGCATAGAGTGGGCCTCAGGAGGGAGCATGCACCAGTGCCCCATAGCAAGCTTGCTATGGCGGCACTGGTCAAGGGGGAGGAGCCAGGAGTACAGGCGGTGGACCTGAGAAGAAGAGGATCAGGGCTGCTCTGTGTAAAACCACTGCACAGAGCAGGCAAGTATTACATGTTTATTATTTTAAATGAAAAAAAAGTAGCTTTAATATCACTTTAAGCTAATCCTGAAACTACATTTTTTAATAATTGGTTCACTTTAAAGTGAAATAATATTCAATCAATTAAAACTAATTTGCCAATTTTACATTAACTCTCCTACAAGATATATTCTCACATGGAAGTGAAGGTAATTTCAAACTTGACTAAAAATAGAAAAATCTGTTCTATTTTCATTGCTACAGGAATGACTATCTGCATAAGCATTAATACAAATTACAAAATCTCAGATACAGACATTGAGAGATTGCATGAGCAAAAAGGTCACTGTTTCAAATATGGA